TGTTGGCGTTGAACTTCTTGACCCCTGCTCATACCCATAGTATCAGTCTGACGGGGAGGCAGATCATCCAGATTGGGGTTGTCCTCCTCTGTAGTGGTCATCAAAGAACGTTCTTGACAAACCCCTGGTGGAAACGACCTGTATCGAATTCTGTAATCCGTGACTATTGCTCAACCATGGCAGGCAGCAATCGGACTCTCAGACTTTTTCCGCGCACACACCTAGCCTCGTGACAGGTCTAGGCCTTCTATGCTGACACCATGCCAATGTTTTGACATGCGTCTATATGAAAGGTGTGCAGCCCTCCATGTCCTACCTTCTTAGGCCATGCGCTGCAGCAGACATATGCGAGGAAATGAACCAGCTGTACAATCTACACATTCTGGTAATTCTACACTCCTCCTTGGGCCCACCGCTAGGTGAGGCCCACTATTCCTAGAAGCCATTCCTGCCACGCAAGCAGTACTGGCAAATCGCCTTGGGTTTGACATTCCCGGCTCTTCGGAGCCCACGGCAATCCTGATCCCGATGAACACAATCACCACCCCCCGAAACGTACACATACTCAGAAGGATCCAACACAATCACAGGATCTGTTTGCGTAGATCGGGACTCCTTGAGTTCCTTGCCTATGCCTGGTTCCCTGATTGGAAGTTCGATCCTACAACCAACTCGTCCACTAATCCTGGAAGGCTCGGCTGCTTGCATCACCTGAGACCTCGACTCGTCAGGAATGACGGTTGGCTTGTGGGATGGGCCTGTTGGAGGACCTCTGGACAAGAACGCAGGTTGCGCACACAGAGTAGGTGATTGCATCGCTTCGCCTGTCACACCTGTAGGTCCAACATGCATAGTCAAGTCACCATACACCACAGTAGGCCCTTGACCAGACCTGGCAGCACTTTCTTGCACGGGCTCGGGCACACATTTGTTCCTGCCCTTCCTCCTTCGTGGCTGTCCTTCGTCGCCTGTTGGACTCTCGCTAAGTGCACTGTCAATTGCCGCAGCGACTCGTTCCCGGAGTTGTCTGGTCCGCCTTTCCTGTTTTTGAACCGAAACCGCCCTGACCTTTGGCAGTTCTTCCTGCCTTCGTCGACACGGTGCACCGCTGGCCTCCCAGACAAACAACGTAGACAACACC